ATATTCACCTATATTCTTTCAATCATTGAATATCATTATATTCACCTATATTCTTCATGTCAACAGTAGCATTCTTGTTATATTCTCCGAGCAGAGAAAATATAACATCAAATCCTGAAATTATAATCTTTGTAAGCATTTGTTTATTTATAGTTTATTTAAACCAAGGGGCGCTTCGCGCCCATCATTTATTCTAACTTTTATCTTATCTGGGAGCATCTTCTCTTTGTACAGTATATAAAAAAAGTTTGCGGTTTTTATAACATTTTTTCGCGCATTTTCTAAATTTAAAAAAAACAAACTTTTAAACACAATATTTTTAATTTTGACCATTCATAAACCTTCCCTGGGGTCACGTGAGGTCCCTTACTAAATTTGGGACCGATCGGTTTCAGCCGTTTTGACGTTTATTGGATACAAACAGACAGACAAGTAAAGTATATATATATAGATTCAAAGAAGTCAAATACAAAAATTAGTAAAAATATTTACTTTATTCATTTCATAAAACTTAATAAATTGTGTTAATTCCTGGATCCGGATTCACGGACCCGGATCTAAGGGGGAAAATATTAACCAAATCTGAACTGTTGAAAAAAGAGACTATTCAGGTTTTCCTTATTTCTGACTGGTTCATCAAGTTTTAGCATAAAAATAAGCGAAAAAATTAAAAAATAATTTTAAAATTTTTCTTTTGTCAATGTAAAATATCAATGTGAAATTCTAATAAATTAAATTTTTTGTTCCTACCTTCAAAGAGAACAAAATCGGCTCCCTGTTGGTTCAGCGAGATGGTGATATCCTAAATATTGAAATATAGTTTATAGAAAAGAATGCTAAAATTTAAAAAAAATTTAAAATTGGGTTATTTGAAAACCCATAATAGTCCATGTAATTTTTAGACGGTTTAATATGGTTAACCTTAAAACTTTTAAATTTTAAGGAAAAAATATAAAATTCTAATGATATTTATATGAACTATTATCACCTAGCAAAAAAATCAGGAAAAAAAAAACAAAAAAAGTCAAACTAACCTGTAATTTAATCTTGAGATCACGCATATTATAAACATTGTCAACGACATACTGTTGCCTAAATTACACAAAAAAATTCAGTTGTAATCTTTTTTTTCCTATTTAAAAAAACAACGTAAATAGTTTCAAACATGAATTATCAAAAAATCACAGGGTTAACTAATGGCTTTTCGCTATATACTCTCTACTTGCTCAGGAATATATAAAATTTGAGATCTTCAATATCGACAGCTCTGTTATAAAAAATTTAGTATTGAGCAGCAAACATGACAATAAAATTTTCTTTTGTAAAGAACTTTTCGTACTTAACTATTAAATACAGGAGAGAAAACAAAATGCAAATAAAACTTAAAAAAGAAATAAGAAAAATATTGCAGATCCGTGTTTTTTATATATAATTTGTTAAAGGAGAATTGCAACAAAATCAATCTTGGATCTTGGAAGTACGAAGAGAGATACATCAAAATCAACCAAGTTGTATTATTCAGAAGAAACTACGATAGGTTCCATAATATCCAATTCAACTTTTGAATGGGATATCCTTAATCCTGATCGGATAATTAATCTGGAGATTAAAAATGAGAGGAGAACAAGCAATATTTAATCTCGAGATTAAGTAAAAGAGTGGATTAAGCCTTAATCCCGATATCCACCATTCTAAAGTTTT